ACCAGCAGCCCGAGGCTGGGCTCTCTCAGGCTGACTTCCTCCTGGGCCTTGGGAGCTTCTTCCATGGTAGCTGCTATGGATGCTGTAGTGGGCACAGCCTCTCTTCTAACTGGTCAGCTCCCAGTGACCCCCTGGATATCCTGATACCAGGTGAGGAGCCCAGGGTTCAGCTGAGAACCCAGAATCTGCAGAGGCACTGCTAGGAGAGCTCAGGTGATGGCCAGGGTAAGGGTGGGGTGTCAGGGAGGGAGGGCGGGGGACAGGGGAGAGCAGGAGGGGCAGAATCAGAGGAGACAGAGACAGAGACAGAGAGACCAAAGGCCTCTCCTGAGGCCTCAGCTCAGAATCAGGTGGTCCACCTCACACCAGCCTCCTCTCCTGGACAGTTCCCTGCCACACCCTCCCTCTTGGTGCAGCCAGGACCGTCAGGAGAGAATGTGACCCTGCTGTGTCAGCCACAGAGCCCAACAGACACTTTCCTTCCATGATCCCACCTGTGTCTGATGTCAGAGTCCCAAGCTCAGTGGTCCCATACAGAATTCTCCATGGGAGCTGCGAGCTCAGCCCTCAGAGGGATCTACAGGTGCTATGGCTCCTGGAACTCCTCTCCACACTGCCTCACAGCCCAGCGAGCCCCTGGAGCTCATGGTGAGGCGTCCCTAGCTCCATACTCTGGGAGCCCTAAGGGGCAGGGTGATGACCCTAGGAATGCTCTCGATACAATGGGGAAGATCCGGTCCTGGAAAGGGTCAGACTGCGAGGGAGTCAGACTAAGGAGGTCAGCGGAATCCTCCTAGGCACGGCCACCACCTTGATGAGTTCAAGGACGTCCAGGGTGAGAAGCTATAGGAGAGGCCATGGAAGGTTAACAGACCAGCACAGAGGGTCTCCGGAGTCAGCGCAGCTCACCCTGCCCTTGCCCATTCCTGGGGTCCCATCCCCCACCCTCAGCACCCAGCCCTACAGCAGGAGTGTCCCAGGTTCTGTCCCCATGTCCTGTGTGTCTAGGCTGCCCGGAGACGCTCAGCCCACCTCAGTTCTAGATCTAGCCTCAGCTCAGCTCACATCCATAGGGTTGGAGGCCAGAAAGAGGCTGGAGCAGACTCTAAGAGTCTCAGCTGCCTGAGGGCAGGATGGAGACCGAGGGAGATGGTGGGGCCCAGTCTGTGGGAGGGGCAACAGCTGAACTGAGGAGAAGGGAGCCCAGCCCCTCTCCTCCCCTCCTACTCCAGCAAACCCTAAGGATGATCCAGGCAGGCCCGCATAAGTCTGATCCACAGAACGAGAGGGAGTGCACTGCTGCTGGGAGGGGCGGGGGCAAGGCCTGAGCTGTGGGGCTGGTGCAGCCTCCTCTGCAGATGCGAACTGGGACCAGCCCCTCCTGGGTGGCCTCAGTTTCCAGGTGTAAAGGGGAAGGCTGGCCCTGACCTTCTAGTTCCTCTGAGCTTGCTGTGAGCCCTGTGGAGGCGGCCTCCAGGGAGCCTCCAGGACCCCACGCTGTAGGGGTTCTGTCCCTCTGTGCAGTGACAGTACCAGTGTGCAGGGCAGGGTGCAGTGTCCAAGCTCCTTCCCTCCAGGTCAGGGGGCTCAGTTCTCTGGAGAGAGCAGGGAGGGTTGTCAGACTCTGGTTTAATCCCCAGCTCGGCCACTTCCTGCTGGCTGCTGTGGGGCACGTAACGACCGCTCTGAGCCTCCGTTTGCTCGTCTGTAAACTTCCCGGGTGGAGCAGCAGTGGCGTGCAGGGCTGAGCCTGAGCGGGTGACCAGGGACCAGGGCGAGCCTGGAGCAGCGCCGTGCTCCACACACAGTCACTGCCGAGTCTCCCCCACTGAACTCATCACCAAGGACGGAGAGGGCACCCCAAGGTTCTGATCGGGGTCACATGGCATCTGTCCTGCCGACCCTCCTCCTCCTCGTCATTCTCTGACATCAGCTTCAGAGCAGAAGCAGGAAGGCTGGCTTTACGGTTGCGTCCAGTTGTCCCCCAAGCCCCTGCGGTCATGGAGCGGCTTCCGGAGTTTGTGATTGGTTACTGTGGGTGTGGGTGCCGCCCCTGCCCGGGGCAGGCAGTCGCATCACAGTGAAAGAGGCCCGCTGGCCGCCAAGCTGCTGCCTGCTCCTGCTGTTTGCGCCACCAGGAGTAGCTGCACTGAGCCGCGCTCCACTCTGCCTTGGAGCCAGCTGAGTAGGCGCTGAAAATTCCACGGTGAGCTAAATAACCCTTCCCTTCCTTAATTTGGGGTGTTGGATACTTCGTCCCAGCAACAAGAGTAACTAAACAGCAGGTGAGTAGGGAGAAGGTGAGCAGGGTCTCAGGACATCATGGGTCCCCCACGGTCTAAGCCAGGCTGCGCCCAGGCACTGGCCCAGGACAGCGGTCTGGCGGAGGACAGCAGGCTGAGCTTCCTCTGTACAAAGCACAGCTGGAGAATCCAGCGCAGAGCACACAGCCCAGCCTGTAGGCGTCTCCGGTGTGGTCTGAGCTTCTCCACCTCCCCTGGTCCTTGTGCTCTGAGGCTTCCTCCTGCCCTGTGTGGCCTGCAGCCCCGGGTGGTTCTGACCTGCTGGCTGAGACTCCATCAACTCCCAGCCCAGACAGAGGCTGCCTTTCCCATCCAGCAGGGGCCGCAGGGCCCCGGCACCCCAGGGCAGAGGCCTGCAGAAGAGCTCATTCCTGCCCCAGGACCCAGACTCTCTGCCTGCCCGCCCGCCCTCATGGCCACCCAACACCCCCTTGTCTCCTGAGGTCCAGCCCAGCTGCTTTGCCAAGAAAGAAAACCCCTGGGAGAGGAAGAGGAGCCCAGGTGGGAGACCTCTGAGGTCAGCATGACAAGACCAGAGGGAGGCTGAGGCTCAGGGCTGAGTCAGACTGAACCTCAACACTGGGCCTGGGAACATCACACAGATGCCTGGATCTGCGTTTCCAGCTGAACAGGACAGGACCTGGGGACTGAGACCCCAGGAGGTGACCCTCTTCTGCCCCTGCAGATGCCACAGTGAAGGACACAGAGTGTGAGGATGGGGTAGAGCCAATGCTCAGGTGAGACCCCACCCCATCCAGGGCACAGGGACTACTCAGGGATGCTGCTCTGTCCTGCACCACTCAGCTCTGAGCGACCTCACAGCTGAACCCTTCCTTCAGGTGTCCCATGTCTCCGCCTGCTATGACCCCACCCTCTGCTCTTTCCTGTGACCTTGAGGTCCCCTCCCCCCAACACGTTTCTGGCCCTCAGCCTATCTGGCTGTTCCCTGTCCCAGGTCTCAGGACCCTGGATGGAGTCACCCCACACCTCCAGGCCCCTCACTCATGTGTTCATGGGAGTGCGGCTCCCTCCTGACCTGACTCCACGGGGCTGTTGATAGTGGGGAGCACAGCCCCTCCCGCCCTGTCAGGAAAAGAGCTGAGAAAGGAAACATATGTTCTGTTCCTAACATGGTGAGTGATAAGCGAAGTGGGAGGAACCAGGCATTTTCTGAGTGAAGTGAGACAATGCCTTTTTCTTAATACAGCGCAGCACACTGAGCTAGGTGTGTGGAAACAATCTTACACTCGGGATAAAACCCTCTCATGTGCTGCTAGATTTGATGAGGACCAGATCAGTTGAGAAATTGTGCCATCTATGTTTCCCAGGGCTATTGTTTTATTTTTGTGGTTGTTCTACAGTTCTAGGGAGTGAACCCAGGGCCTTCACACTGAGCCACATCATCAGCCCTTTATTAGGAGACAGGATCTCGCTAAGCCACTAACTCGCCTTGGTTCAGGCTTGATCGGCCAGCACTACATGTGTGTGCCTTCACACCCACCATTCTTTGTTAATCTTTTCCCTGATGTGGCAGCCCAGTAATGTTCACCTCATGGAATGTTTCAAGTGACCCTCTTCTTTTTTGGAAGGACAGTATGATTGGCAGAACTTACCAGGGAGGCCATCTACCCTTGGGCTGCTCCTTGTGAAGTTCCACTCTGGTCCTGCCTGGAGCACCCACTCCTTGTTCCTCCATTAAATCCCAAATACCCTCATTGCATCCAAGGGCTGTCACCCCAAGACACCTGACACCAAATGCCAGCCCCACCTGGTCCCTTGAGCTTTGAACTGTAAATGCCCAAGGTGAGCAGAAAGGGCAAGTCTATGACTGCACAAAAGGGCACAAATGGACAAGACATTGGCAGCAGAGGCCTGCCTAGAAAGGCTCCCCCAGTGTAGCTCAGCCTGGGCTTTGTTGCTTCTTCACCCTGCCCTGTCCTGTGAAACCAAGTGCACCTTGAACAGAGGCGGTGATGGGCAGGGTGTCTGGGGACAGCTCCACGCTCACCTGACTGGCCCCTGGCACGTTCAGACTGCACAGGAGTCCTGCACTCTGTAGAGGACACCAAGCCTGCTCTGCACTGAAGCTGGGATGCAAACCCACATCACATCCCAGGGTGCCCAAGCAGGGAAAAAACCAAGAGCTACAACTGCTGAGGGAGTTGCTCAACTACGTTCCTCTTTTCAAAAATGAAACTTTACTCTCCTGCCTGCCACAGCTTCTCAAAAAACGCAGAGCCAAGGGGAGCTGCTTTCCCCCCCTTAAGTCCAAATGTCAGGTTCCTCAAAGGTCCCTGCTGAGGCCACACGCTTTCCACTCATTTGAGCCACTTAAGATAAACCTGGGAGCTTGCCAAGTCAACCGCAGAACTCGCAACAGCCTGTGGCTCCAGCCCAGTACTGAAGCTACCTACCTGGAGTCAGCAGAAGAGCTGCATCCCCACCTGCTACCTGCCCTGCCAGGAAAAGGCTCCTCCACACCCATATGAGTTGGCCATACTCGGAGTCTGCAGACTGCCCACCCTCCATGCCACCAACACCCTCTGGATGGTGTCCACAAGCCTTGAGCCAGCAGAGCCAGACAGGTGTCCTCCACCCACCTGGCCGCACCTAGAGGTAGAGCCATCACGGTGGCCTGGACCCCAACACTCAAGGCTGTGCTGGGCGGGGACATCGAGAGGAACACCAATTGCAAACTGGTTTTCTTCATCCTGGTTTATTCTGTACTAGAAAACTAAATCCTTGGACAGAAATTGAAGGGTGGGCTTAATCCTCCTCCTCGTCATCCCCGGCTCCAGCCCCACCCTGGCCCTTCTTTGCATTCTTCCTCTTCACACGGCCTGGGCGGCCTCCCCCATACGGGGAGCGCAGAGAGAAGTCGATATGCTTCTGGGAGTCCAGGCGCACAATGAAGGACGGAATGTTCACCACCTGCTTGCGGACCCTGAAGGGGAGACGACAGCAGGTGAAGGCAACAGAGGGACCTACACCCCAGCTTTTTTAAATTTAAGGCAGGGTCTTGCTATATGACTGCATCGAGCAGGCTGGGCTTCCCAGAGTGCTAGGCAAACAGGCCTGTGCCTGCTGGGCCCCTGCATCCCTGCCTCTCAGCACTTGACCTCAGGAGTGAATTCACCAAGTTCACAATGAGGAGGACAAGAGTGCAGTGGCACTAACTGCAGTCTGGGAGTCACAGGAGATCAGAAATAGCTGAGCCCACCCACCCTCCAGAGACACCAAGAGCTGTTTGTTACCTGTCCAGCTGCCCGCACACTGGGCAGAGACCTTCGCAAGGTGTACGGCTTGAGCCGCAGTGACACTTGCGCTGGGCTATGGGGAGCCAAAGCCGCCCCCAGATCCCCCACAGCTTCCTGCAGAGTGCACCTGTCCCTTAAGATGAGCTCACAACCTTATCAGCTCATAGGGCTGCACGGGAGACAGGACAGCAGGGTCAGTATGGGCCACCACAGGGGGCCTGGGATGGGCTGGGGACCATCTGGGGCCCTGCTGCATGGTACCTGATGTGGCGCTGGCGGATGAGCACACGGGCGTGGTGGATGGACTTGGCCAGGCCCAGCTTGAAGACCTGAGTCTGCAGGCGCCTCTCCAGAAAGTCCTCAATTTTTAGGCCCAGGATGTAATCCAGCTTCATCTTGCCCTCATCCAGCACCCCGATGCGGACGAGTCGCCGTAGGAGAGCATTGCCTGGGAAGAGAGGACAGGAACACCCGGTCAAGGGCTCTGGCCTCAAACTCCTCGGGTACAAGTGACGTGACACAAAACTAAGAGCTAACTGATACAGAACTCAAAAAGGGAGTCACCAACAGAAGAAAGCTTTCCAGATGAAGCTCAGTTCAAATGCCCAGTGCTCAATCTCCAGAAGAAAAAAATATTATCTCACCTTTTTCAACAAAATAGCTTGAAATATTAAAACTTTCCCCAGACATCTACACTATCTCTACTACACAAGTCTACCAAATTTTCCTTAAATGTTTTTGACCATTTATTAAATAAAGCAAGTTAGCACCCAGGGCCCCTCCCTGCTGTCAGACATTTCAGGAACCCCACTATCTCCACTAATAGCAAAGGAATACACTGCACTGCTACACAATATACAGCCTTCAGGTATCCAAGCCTCACTAGCACCCCCATCTCAGGGGTGAAATAAAAGGAGGAGATCTGGGGATAGTCAAAGCTACCTAAAATGAAAGCAAAGAATGTAATTCAAATATACTTTTCTCCATTACACTAAAGATTGGAAGGTTGTTCAGTTAGACAACGGGCGGGCCTTCCACCCCTCAGCGAGGTCCACTAAGTTACAGAGAGTTGGATCCAAATCACGGTAAGGCCACCCCAAGGTCCTTGGGTCACACGCTTATCAGGCAGGAGGCCTGGGTTCAACCCCCAGGATTATGAACCTAACCTAATGTAAGGGGTTAACAGAGTTTTGTGCATTAACTGTGAAAACTTATAAAAACCCTTTGTGCTTCCTGTTATCTACTCTAAGAAATATATATTCTCCCTTTGGACTCAAGGCTGTTCAACAATAAATATTTCTTGTCAAGGCAACAAACTAACACAAACTCTCCCCAACCATCTCCTATAATGTAGTCAGCTTAAGATATATCTTATAAAAAATATACACTTATCACTACGCTGTAAAAAACCTTTTAGTTATGAACAGGTTGCAGCTGTGTCAAATGAATCTAGTTTCTGTTATTCTGTGCTAGATGACAAGTGTGCTTACCAATCTAGATGTGATCTCTGTTATAGATACCCCCCTGCTACCTTCGTTCGGAGCCGATCAGCCCTCTCCTGCGAGCGAGCGAAGTGGCTGACGGACCTGAGCTCAGTACATAAAAGCCTCTATTCTAATCTCTCTCTGGCTGACCTGGTTCCCCTGCAGCGTGACCCCTAACACCCAAAAGCTGGCTTCGGAATGAAGCCCCGACCCCGCGGCCTGCACCCACGCCTCTGCTCCCACGCACGCACCTTCGAAGAGCCGCCGAGGGTCCTTCTCGTCCAGCGTCAGCAGCTCCCGGGCCGCCTTGCGGATCTTGGCCAGGGTGAACTTGACCCTCCAGACCTCGCGCTTGTTCCGGAGCCCATACTCGCCTGCGCGTGGGGGAAGGAGTCACAGCGAGCGCGGGCTGGGTCAGAGGCCGGCGGCCGGCTTGGGAACACCAAAGCCTCCTAGACCCACTCTGCATTCGCTGTAGTTCGCCACCGCAGCGCCCACGCCCCGTGCTCGGCCTCACCACGCGCTCCCTTTCCCGGCCACGGACTCACTCACCGATCAGCTTCAACTCTTGGTCAAGGCGGGACTTCTCGAAGGGCCTCCGCGGGGTTACGTAGGTTTTACGACAAACCCAGCTCCTCGCCACGGGCATGCTGGCTCCGTGCGCCCGGCTGCGCCTGCGCAGAAGTCAGCCGTCGCGAGAGACTCCCAAGCTGGGGCGCAGTCCTAACCACAGCGCCACGAACTCGCGGTAGCCAGTCATCTCGCGAGAACAGCCCAGAGAAGTTTTAACCCCACAATCGCGCCGCACGCCCGTTCCACCAGCCCCCTCTTTCCTGACTGCTTTCACGTTCTTGTAGAAGGTTCTACGGCCCGTGCAATTATAAACCCCAAACCCTGACTCACCGGCGAGCAGATCTTCACGACCGAGAAAAAGGGCCGCCCGCGCCTACGGCTCGCTCTTATAACACCGGCGCCGCCTCGTGATGTCATTACGCAACGTGCACGCCTGCACCAATCAGAAGAGGCGCTGAGGGCGGAAGCGCAGTGGAGACGAGAAGGTGGGCAAGAGCGGCGTGTCGGGCTGGGCCGGCTTGGTGTGGCGGCTGTCTGTACTCGCAGTGGATTCGGCTTGCCGAGGCGCTGGGGAGGATGAGCGGTGTCGGACTTCTTTCTCTCCTACTGGACTGTGGTTCTTAACAAGTCAGGCACTGTCCTAGACTGGAGTCCTGCCGCCACTCCCGCCCCAGAGGCGCAGTGGGACCGGTTGTGCCCGACCTCTGTGGCCCGCAGCCAGCGGCTCTCCCAAGGCCCGGGCCCGGGGCCGGGGGCGCTTCCTGAGCCCAGAGTACCCTTGACCCCGCCCGGTGGCGGTGACTCCGGGACGGTGACGCGAGCGAGTATCCGCGAACGGCGGCCGCTGTTGTGCTTTGGCGACCAGTGCCCCGTCCACCCTCGCTACCGCTCCTTGGCCTTGCGTGCTATAGACGGACGCCCGCCAGCCTGCAATCCTGAGCAGCCTCCAATCCTGAGCAGCCTGCAATCCTGAGCAGCGACCGCCTTGCGGGGAGCCGCCCTCCCTCAGCCCCAGGAGTGCAACAGAATTTTGAGCAGCACAAGCATTTGTTCTTGTACACGAGCGCACTTATCAGTGAATAAAACGGCCGCTGGTAGAGAGGGAAACTGAGGCCAGGGGAGTTCGCGAAGATCCTGTCAGTGTGATGCTGCGACAGAAATGTACTGAACATTGAAGGAAGGTGGTTCTTCAGCCCGGTGAAGGCGCAGTGATTTTTCTAAATTTATGTTTCTTACCAAAACGAGGCGTTTCCATCCTGAGGTTTCTTTTGGGATCCCAGAGCAGGGGAAAATGTTCAGATTCCTATTGCAGTATATTGTGCTCCAGTTAATGTCAACTACTTTTCTTCAAAGAGCCCACAGCAGTTGGGTATGGTAATACACACCTGTAATCCCAGCTCTTGGGAGGCTGAGGCAAGAGGATCTCCTGCAGTTCAAGGCGAGCCTGACCTGCATACCAAGATCAGTCCTATTTTTCCAGAGCACCTGCTAAGTCACCAACAGGTTAAGCACATTTCTTAAAAAAGGGAAAAAAAAAAGTTTCTCAAGATTATAGGATTCCGAAATGAAGGCTAAGCAAATGAAAACAAGGTCGTGCTCCCCAGTCGGGGTCACCCACTCACTGTCACCTGCATTTTGCAGACGCAAAGCTAGGCAAAAAAAAAAAAAAGACTGCAGGTGTGCTCTGCTGTGAGGCTGCCAGCCAGGAGAAGCTATCTGCAGGCTGACTGATTAGGAAACCGCCCTGAACTTAAAGTTAGAATCGGGGACAAAAAATAGAGGAACTAAGCCTAGTGATGTATGCCGGGGACCCCAGTATTCTGGGAGGCTGAGCCAGGAGGATTGCAAGTTCAGGCCCACCTCAAGCAGCTTAGCAACCTGGCAAGACCCTGTCTCAAAAAATAAAGAGCAGGAGATGGAGCTCAGTGAGGACCTGGGTTCAATCCCAGGGTAAAAAAGATGTCTAAAAATGGGGGGGGGCGGCTGGGGCGATAGCTCAGTGGCTTAAGTGCCTGCCAGGCAAGTACAAGGTCCTGAGTTCAATCCCTTGTGCCCCCCTAAAAAAATGGGGAGGGCATGGTAGCACATGCCTGTAATCCCAGTGCTTAGGAGGCTGAAAACAGGAAGATCACGATGAGTCTGATCTGTAGTGAGAGACTAATGTACTAAATACATTAGAAAAAAAAAAATTGGGGGAAAGCTGCGTTATTAATCCCATCCTGGCCCTTTCCACAGGGAATGCCTGGCTTCCTGCATTGTTCCAAGAGATAGCAGTTTAACTTCCTACAAGCCCAGCAATTCACAACAGCCTGGGCTGTTTCTCAGAGATAAGGGGCTGGTTTTTTTGGCAGAGTGCTGCAGTATGCAGGTCAAGGTTCTTTTTCACAAGCGGTGATCAAAATACAGTGAAAGCAGGATGTAGCTCAGTGGCCAACGGCCTGCCTGGCAAGTGCAAGGTCCTGAGTTTGATTACCCGTACAAGAAAAAGAGAACCAGTGAACAGAGGGGTGTGGTGGTGCACACCTGTCATCCCAGCACTCAGGAGGCTGACACAGGAGGGTGGCTGTGAGTCTGAGGCCAGCTGGACTATGCAGCAAGACCCTTGTCTCCAAAACCCCCCAAAAGTACGCAGTACATGTTTACATATTAGAAGTTTATTACAGTAGTAAAAGACACTTCCATTAGTCCCCCTCCTCTTTGGCACTCTGAAGCAGTTGTGGAAGTCCTCTTTATGAGGTGCCAACTAAAAAATAAAAAAACTAAGTAGGCTGGGATGGTGCACAATGTAATCCCAGGATTCAGGAAGCCAAGGCAGGAGGATCACTGCAAATTCAAGCCCACCATGGGCTACAAAGTGAATTCAAGGCCAGCCTGAACTGATACTGATTTTTTTTTTTTTTCCTGGAACTGGGGATTGAACTCAGGCCATTGTGCTTGCCAGGCAAGCGCTTATTCTACTGAGCTATCTCCCCAGCCCCCTGAACTGCATACTGAAACCCTGACTCAAAAAGACCAAAAATAAAAAACAAAAGCCAACCAACCACACAGAGACTGCTGCTCTGAGCACCATCAACCAAAGGCAGTGTCAAAACCTGGCAGTGTCCTCGCCCACCCCACCCACCAGATCTGGCGGTGTATGACTCCTGGCGCCTCCCCAGATCTGCAATAACCAGGGCAGGTCAATGTTTTGAATATGTTCAATTAAAGCAGCCACAGCAGTGCCACTAAGCACACAAAAGAGGACTCCCAGAAGCACTTCAGAAAGTGACAAACATAAGCTAGGTGTGGTAGCACACCCCTGTAATCACAGCACTCCTGAGGGGCTGCGGCTGGAGGCATGCTGTGAGTTCAAGGCCAGCCTGAGCTACATAGCAAGACCCTGTATCAAAGATCAAAAAAAAAAGCCAAATGACCTGTGTGTTCAATCCACAGAGATGATGTGTCCTTTATGTTGTTGTTGCTTTTAGTGTTTTGTTTTTGTTTTGGTACCAGGGATTGAACTCAGGACCTTGTGCTTGCTAGCCAGCCACTTAAACCTGCAGAGCTACATCCCTGACCCTGTTTGGTTTTTTAAATAGTCTTGCTGTTAAAGATCAATTTTGGGTTGGTGAGCTAGCTCAGCGGTCTAAAGCGCCTGCTTCAGCAAGCTTGGGGATGGAGGCTCAAGATCCCCAGCACAGCACATCTTGCCAGCCCTGCCCTTAGGGTGGGCTGAGCCCTCAGGAAAGCTAAAACTAAAAAACAAAGTATCAGTCTCAGAAAGTGTTGGGATTACAATTGAGCACCACCACACCCAGCTCTAATTCCTTTTCATTTTTACCAATATGATCTATGAAAATGGGTGACTTACACTTGTGTTTGTTTGGCTGGCTCTTCTCTGAGACTGTGTAAGCCCTGGTGGCCTGGAGCCCAGAGCAGTCCTCCTGCCTCAGTGCCCCCGCCCACCGGGCCGAGATGCAGGCCTGTGCCAAGAGGCTCCGCGACATTTGTGTCTGTATTGCATTTGCCTTTCTGTGAATTGTCTTGTATACCTTCTACCCACGTGGGAAGTAGGATAACAGAACATAAGATTTTTCTCTCTTTTTGAGACAGGGTCTCACTATGCAGCTCAGGCTGGCCTTGAGCTCACTTTGTAGCCCAGGCTGGTCTGAACTCACAGTGATCCTCGGGCTTCAGCCAAGTGCTGGGATTACAAGTGTGTGCTACCGCACCCGCACCCGTGGGATCTTTATTTTTTGTGGCTGTATCCAATGTTTGACTTTTTTTTTTTTTTTTTGTACCAGGGATCAAACTCAGGACATGGCCTGAGGACTAGGCATGTGCTCAAGCCACTGAGCTCATATCCCACGCTGATAGCATTCATCAAGACAGCGGGGAGAAAAAGTCTCTTCCACAACTTCTCACTCCCTTCAGGGTAATGTAAGGCTCTGCAGATTCCAGTGGTCTCCTGGTTGTTGGCTACGGGGTTTTTGGAGACAGGGTCTGGCTATGTAACCCAGGCTGGCTTCAAATTCATAATCCTCCTGCCTCAGCTTCCCAAATGCCTGGCTGTGATCAGAGATTTGGGTTCTGATAGCTTTATATTAACAGCTAGGTCTATGGCTTCTCAAGTTAAAGGTTAAAAAAAAAAAAAGAAAGAAAGACACCAGCTCTTGGTCTTGGGCAAAATTAGCCCAAGGGCACAGTAACAGTAATTCCTCATTGGATTAAAAAAAAGCCTAGGGGGCCAGCCAGATAGCTCAGTGGATTAAAGCGCCTATTTAGGCAGACACTGGAGCAGGAGCTTCCATTGGATCTCGCCTGCTGTGTGGGCCCGGCCCCCAGGCATGCTGAGAAGGCGACACAGACTGGGCACGGTGGCATGCCTGTAATCCCAGTGCTTGGGAAGCTGAAAACATGAGAATCATTACAAGTCCCATCTGTGTAGTGAGACCCTGTAGACCCTGCAGACCCTGTACTAAGTTAATTAATTAATTAATTTTGGCAGAACCGGGGATTGAACTCAGGCCCTTGCACTTGCCAGGGAAGCACTTATTCCACTGAGCCATCTCCCCAGCCCCCGGTACTAAATTAAAAAAAAAAAAAAGCACAGTGCACAGTGTGGAGTGTGGCATCCGTGGTGACAGCGTGGTGGTCAGGTCTCAAGTACATCCTCTCCAGTGTCGCCGGCCTACTCCTCACAGCAGGGTGTGGGGACACGGTGACCCCCACAGCCCGGGAACATGGGTGTGATGAGGTCTACATGACTTTGCTTCTATATGACTGTAAAAATATTAATTATCAGGCTGGCCAGATAGATCAGTGGACTAAAGTGCCTGCTTGGGAAGAGCCCAGGGCCAAGTTTCAGTCCGTGAGCCGTGCCGCCTGCCCTCGGGGCACACGGGACTCGGCGTGGTGGCGCACACCTGTAATCCCAACGCTTGGGAGGTTGAAAACAGAATCACTGTGAGTCCAATCTACGTAGTGAGACCCTGTAGACCCTGTACCAGACACACAGAAAGACTCTCTTAATTATTATGTAGATGGGGTAGCACGTGCCCGTCCCAGTACGCAGGTCGAGGCATAAGGATCACTTAAGTCCAAGGTTGGAGACCAAGGTAGCACGGCCCCACCTCAAAAAAGAAAACCCATGAGGCGTCCCCGTCCTGGCAGACTAGCTGCCAACAGGAACGGGCCACACAAGCTGCACAGGTGTGTGCAGCACGCTGCACGCTGGGAAGAAAAGGGTCGCGAATGAAGGTATGAATTACAATATGAAGATGGTATAGAAGAATTCTAAGTTCCACATTTTCCCACAAAATTATAAACTACTGATTCATTCAGCAACGTACTGAGGGCTGAGTGCCAGGAACAGTTCTTGGAACTGGGGTACTACACAGTGAACACTGCTGTCAGGGCCAGGGGTATAGCTCAGCTGCATGGCAGCTACCTGGCAAGCACACGGTTCTGAGTTCAATTCCTAGTATGGAAGCGAGCGAGCAAGCAAGCAAACGAGCTGGGGAGACAGCTCGGTGGTCTAAGCACCTGCCAGGCAAGCTCAAGGACCCAGGTTCAATCCTGGTACCACATGCCATGCCAGCCCCAGGAGCCTAGGCACTGGTGCTTGCCACCGAAACTGGGCGTGGTGGCACAACCTATAACCCCAGCGCTGAGGAGGCTGTGACAGGAGGATCGCTGCGAGTCCCAGGCTGCACTGTGTAGCAAGAGTACCAAATGATGAATAGCAAGCAAGCAAGCTGTCCTTAGCTAGGAAGAACCGCATGCCAGCACCTGTGGGGGAGGGGAACAGTCACGTCCACAGGGGACTCCGAGGACCGCACATGCTAGCGTGCCCATGAAGGTGCCAGTCCATCCTGCAACGCATCCTGCCGAAGCTGCTCCAGAAAGACCCGTGACCTCCAGGGGCTAGGACTGAAGGGTAGTTGCAACCAGGCAAGAGGGATCGTTTGGGTATGACAGAAACCACCTAAAGTTAGAGTACAGTGACAAACGCATAACCCTGGACTCTAAAGTCAGTGACTTGGGCACTTTGTGAATTTTATCACACATGCTGCATCTCAATAATGCTATTTTAGAAAGCAGCTTGCAAGGGCAGGAAGATTGTTCAACGGCATAAGCACCTGGTAAGTGCAAGGTCCTGAGTTCGATCCCCAGCACTATGAAAAACAAAAAGCATAAAGACAGGGCCGGCCAGATAGCTCTGCAGATTAAAGTGCCTACTTAGGCAGACACAGGGACCGGGGTTCGATCTCCAGCCTGCCATGCCAGCCCCACCCCCGGGACGTGCTGAGATGGCAACTGAGGTTGGGGGTGGTGGTGCACGCCTGTAACCCCAGCACTTGGGAGGCTGAAAGTGGGAGGATCGCTATGAGTCCAATCTGTGTAGTTAGACCCTGTAGATCCTATACTACTACTACTACTACTAATAATAATAATAACAGTAATAATAAAATGAGTAAGAAAGATGGGCCAGGCACTTTGGAGGCTAAGGCAGGACTGCAAATTCTGGGCCAGCTTGGGCTGCATGGTGAGACTCTGTCACAAAAAACCAACAACCCTGGGGCTGGGGAGATGGCTCAGTAATAAGCACTTTCCTGGCAAGCGCAAGTTTCTAAGTTCAATCCATGGTGCCACCAAAAAAAAAAAAAAAAAAAAAAAAAACAACGCTGCCTGCAAAAGACATAGAGCATGGTAATCGTAAGAGTGGTAAAGCGAGAGCCAGCGAGATAGCTCAGCGGACTAAGTGCCCACTTGGGCAAGTACAGGGACCAGGGTTCAATCCTGGCACATGTTGTGCCAGCCTCACCCCTGGGGTGTGCTGAGCTGCCTACTGAGTCCAGGCTGGGTGGCACACATCTATAAGCCCAGCACTGGGGGGGCTGAAAGCAGGATCACTGTAATGAGACCCTGTACCAAATACATTTAAAAAAAAAAAAAAATAGTGGTAAGGCCAACCAAGGGGACCTACGGGAAGAGTGTTAAATATTAATTTGGGTCACACGTAAAGTCCCACTGACAAGCCAGTCAGCCAGCAGTGAGGGACAAGCCCCTGTGGCTGCCCAGGGTCAGCGGTTCACAGCGGTCAGAGGATGGCAAAGGAGTGAGTATGTGACCACTGCACGCAGGAAGAACGAAGAATGGGGAACCTGCAGCGCAGGCTTCGGCGGCCGCCCTGAGCTGGACCTCTGGAAGTGGCGCAGTCTGACTTACCTTTGCACCGAGGGTCCCACTGCTCTTGCTGACAGCAAGGTCCCAGGCAGAATGCGGCTGGGTTAGGGGGCCGCAGTCAAGGGCACAGCTGGGCCAGTGCTGGCGGTGGAGGCGGCTCCACAGCGTTCTGGAAGCAGCAGCCATGGGGTCCCACCGCGGCGGGGCTGTGGGCCCCCACCTGACAGTCTGTGTGTCTGCGTCTGGGGCCCTGTGCGTGGAACCCAGGCCCCTGCGCAGGCCAGGCCAGGCTGCTGCTGCTGCCGAGCTACAGCCTCGGCCCGGCCCTTTCAGTTTGGGTTTTCCAGGCAGGTCCTGTACAGATGCCGGCCAACGTCGAGCACAATCTTTCCTCATGAGAAACCGCATGGTGACACACGGGGACTTCTAAGTATTGTGGAGTGAGGAGAGGGGCTGGGAACCGTGTGCGAGCCAGCCGCCGAACACACCGCAGTGCCAGCCTGGCAGCAGGGGGCGCCCTTTGTAAACCAGTGCATTCCAGGAAGCTGAGAGTCTATGAAGGTAGTTTACTGAAAGGGGCAAGAAAGGCGAAGCTGAGGGAAAGAAAACCTAAATGATCACAGGAAGAGACTTTCAGCTCAGAATCTTTCTATGTAAATGTATTAAATGAACAAAATCTGTGACACAAAATAACACTGCATGTTAAGACCGACACATAAATATTACAGTATTAGTAACGTGCCAGCAATTTCTCAGGACAAAGGTAACAGTTTACTTTATAAGTGTACACTTGTGCTGGGTTGTTCGTTTTGGCTGGTTGCAGGACGGAGGCCTGAACGCAGGGCCTTCCCACAGAGCCCCACTCCCAGGCCTTCTTCATGTTGGGAGACAAGACCTTGCCAAGCTGCTGTGCTACCTGGGCTGGCCTCAAACTTGTGATCTTCCTGCCTCAGCCTCTAAGTAGCTGGGATCACAGGTGTGCAGCACTCCACCCAGCAACCGGACACAGTGAGGAGAGGCACGCTGACGCCTCAGGCGTAGGCAGGCCCCTTATTCCCTGGCTGGCTGACATGGGGGCGCCCTACCCCTTCTCCCTGCACCCGTGGATGCAGATGAAAGTGTCCTCGTTCCTGGGGTTCTCACAAATGTGACAACTACTCAACAAGTTTATTGAGACCTGAGCCCTGAAGAAACTGAGCGAAAGCAAACCCAGCGCCCACTGTCAAGAAGCCCACAGTCTGGACACGGGCAAGCACGCACGGCGCGCAGCCGAGGAGAAGCCTGCGCAGCTGCACGCTCAGGCCCCTGGGTCAGAACGAACCTCAGAGCGCGGCAGGAAGCGTGGCCTCCGCAGTGCTGCTCTGCTCAGGCCCAGGGAGCCAGCCCAGCGGCCGTCGGGCTCACTGCAGGCTGGCCCACTGCAGGGAGGTGTAGACCACCCGGCCCTCCGGCTGCGGGGAGCACAGCAGCAGCGTCTTTCTCACGCTGGTTCCCAGGCGGCCGGCAGAGATCAGATCCTGGAGCGGGATGGGGTCGTCGGGAGCCCAGCACTGGGCAATGTAGTGGGCGTGGAAGCGCAGCGGGTCGCCTGGAGGACAGGACAGGGAGGCTCGAGAGTGTCCATGGCAGAGGACTAGGTCACCCCGGGACACCACCACAGGCTCCTTTTACAACTGGTCGTAGAAACTCTGCAACATACACTCTTACAGCAAGGTATTCCACAGCTAGGGGGTTTTCTTGCTAATAGCACCATAAAATACCTGTAACGACGACTATGCTGTTTTTTGGCTTTGGTTTTTTTGAGACAGGGTCTCGCTATGTAGTTCAGGCTATCCTTTCACTCACTATGTTGACTAGGCTGGCCTCCAACTCGTAGCAATCCTGTAGCAATCCTCCTGCCTCGGCCTCCTGAGTGCCAGGATTTATGCACCACCCTGCCCAACTGATTATAGTATTTTGGTATCACTCAAAACTGCTAACAAATGGAAGCAATCAAAACACAGACTGAAAGTGATGGATGACGTAGAGTGTGCCTAAGGAGAGTCACATGGAGAGAAAACATTCTCTCAGGCTTTCACAGAGAGCACACTGGCCAAGCAATGGCCGTGACTCATCCACATGGCTGACACTGACAAAGGTTCTACAATCTGAGGTACAGGATCTCAGCATAAATCCTGAGGGCATTTCACTGACCTTCTCAGACCCAAAAGCTACAACTCTTGTTGCACAGGTCCTGCTTTACCTTGGTCTTAACCATCCAGTAGAAAAGTATAAAAACCAAGTATAAGAAGTAAAGCCATGCTGTTATGTGGAGCTGTAGGGGACTCAGGTCAACAATTTCTGACACTGCCAGTCAAGCGGAAGACCCAATTGTATTATGGACTACTGGGCTCTTAGAATATTTTGCTGAGTTAACACACCTATAATATTCAAATAATGGAACTAAACAAAAAAAGGGGATACAGATGAATGTCCATTTTGTATCTGTGTATTCAAAATGGTTAGGATAGATATATAGTTGCATTCTCTTAATGAATAGAGGGATTTGTTGTAATAGTGTTTGTAAATAGGATATCATGTCTGCATCTTGTACGGCAAATAACCACTAGGAAGAATGTATGCAATGTGTTAATTACTGAAACTGTCATACTGATTTGATTTGAAACTGTCTCATTGCTATTTGTCTCTCAATAAAATTATGAAAAAAAAACAACCCACACAGACTGGCTACATTCACAGTACATCCATAAAACTAAGCACAGAATTTATACAACTAGTAAGCTTACAGGAACACCACCATGGAACAAGATCAAGGATACACTGAGCGAAGCAGGGGAGGGACTCAAGGTATCACACCGCGAGCAGCATATAATCTCACGCACAAAACAAGTAAGCAGCCATGGTGGGGCGCACCCCTGTCGTCCCAGCACTCAGGAGGCTGAGACTCAAGGAGAGCTTCAACTCTGAGGCCAGCCTGCTCTACAAAGTGAGTTCCAGGCCAGCCTATAATATATGAGATCCCATCTCAAGAAACCAAAGAAGTAAGGAACCGAATATGTGGCGACCACGAGCATATACGAAGAACTGTGCTAAGAGCCAGCAACAGTCAAAGCCCCAAGGAACTCCAAGGATGGTTGAGAAGTGACCCCACAGGCTAAAAGAGAGGCAGCTAATCTACGGCATGAGTGCTGCGGGCTGTCTGTATCACCGAAAGCTCTAAAAAGTTCACCATTACTGGGCTAACCCTAAGGCAGGAACTGGGGGTGCGGCTCAGTGGTGGAGCCCTCGCCTACACCTCAGAAAAGATGGTACTGCACAACAGAACAACATAAAGAGGTCAGCAAGCGTTTGCAGAATGAGCCGGACACGCGTAACCTCAGCTCGCGGGCCCGTTGCAAGTGCTCGGCTCAGCCGGAGCAGCGCCACAGCAGCTGCACCCACACACCGGGCGGGGGGCTGGGCACCAGCAACACTCCACTCACAAAAGCAGCTGGTGGGTCAAGCGGGCCTGGGGCTGTTGTTGGGCCCCGAACAGGGTGGTCTACACAGGCGGAACAGGTGCCTGCCTGAGCCAGGCACTGCTCAGAAAAATAACCAACAGGCCACAGAAACCTGAAAGGGCAAGGCTGTGACACCCCTGCGAGGGGACTGTCACCACATCTCCACAAGACCCAACTTGGCAGTGGGCTGCTAGAGACCCCTACAGGAGCCAGCACTGGTCTGGGTGCGGCATACACGGCAGCGGTGAGCAGAGAGCAACCCCAAGCCACGCAGGAAGGGAGGTGGGGATAAAAGAACTGCGACCCCAACGCAGCAGCAGCAGCAGCAGCAGCAGCAGCCGCCCGGAGAACGCAGTCACCGCACTGTGCTGCCAATACACACAGCTTCAGCTCCGTCACCAACACAGGCTTGGGCCCTCGCTCAGCAGCACGGCGCCTGCCTGCCTGGCAAGTGCCTCGTCCTGAGCTCACTTCCCAGTACCGGAACAAAACACGCCTGGGAAGCTAAGCCCGCAAGTGCTTTCCCGGAGGCTTAGCAACGTTTAAACTCCAGAACGTTTAACAACAAGCTCAGAAACAAACAACAGATCCACAATTCAACATAATTATCATATAGTGTATGTTTTTGGCCTATTAGGCTGGTTATTTATCTGTGTTTAGAATAATTCATAAAGACAATGTGATGCTAGCAAAAAATTAAAAAATGTAAAAACCAAAAATGTAGATGGAAAAGGGGAAAAAAACTAAGACACATTTCATATATGTACCAATTCCCCATAACAAATGGGATCATGTACTATGAACACAAAAACACACAAAAAGATACACATGAGAGTTTCAGATTGGAATACTAACATTTAGGAACAAGAATTTCTGCCTATGTAGTACACTATTTAATACTTCAGAAACAACACCCCTAGGAGTGGCTAAAGCTGAAAAGTGGTCATATGCATGAGGGCAGGACAAGGCCTCAGTGCCAAAGCAGTGAAGCCACCTCAGTCCTAAGAAAAGCATCCTGCCTGGACAATTTTGACTATGAGCTGCTAGGCAACCTTGTGGTTCTTGATACTAACTTTGCAAAGGTATAAGTAAACACCCCCCCCCCCCGTTGCTGTTGGATCCTTTGCCCATCTTTTCCTCATTCCTGCTGACATTTCTTCCCAGGGTTCACTGAGAGATCAGCTAGTCCCTACAATACCCCTCAGCTCTAACAGGCCAGCCTGTGGATCCACGTAAGATGTAGCATAAAGTCATTAAGCAACTGAAACTTGTTACTTTCCCCCAAAGTGGCTTTTTTGTTTGTGCAGAAATGGGGTCTCCCAGTGTTGTCCAGGCTGGCCTAGAACTCCTGGCTCAAGCAATCCTCCTGTCTCAGCTTCCTGAAGACTTACACCTATAAAACATACATTACTACATTGCTGGATATTTAAGTGATATGTATCTGCAAAACTCTACAAACATGCCACTGAATTACACACACACACACACACACACACACACATACACACACGTGCACCTGTTCTTTCCCTCTCCTTGTTCAGATTTTCCCTATGCATGTGCACCTACATCAATCTAATAACTATACTGTCGCTCTATTAACTGCTATGTTTGGCTACTAACCTATTAACATTTTAGATGTTCATCAATTTTTTAGAACAGTTTATAATCCTGTACCCAATATCCTTTTTTTTGGCGGAACTGGGGATTGAACTCAGGCCCTTGCGCTTGCCAAGGAAGCACTTATTCCACTGAGCCATCTCCCCAGCCCTCTTCTTCTTCTTCTTTTTTTTTTTTTTAGATAAGGTCTCACTGTGTAATTCAGACAGAGCTTGAATTCACTGTGTAGCCCAGGCTGGCTTCAAACTTGGGGAGATCTTCCTGTCTCAGCCTCCCAAGTGCTGGGATTACAGGTACATGCCTTCAAGGCTGGCTGTCAATATTTTACTCTTCTTTCTCTTCTTTATACACACATGTGAATACTTCTCAGTGACTCTTATGGGTCTGCGGAAGTAATTAGTATAATTTGCTGAGCTGCCCCCTAAATGAATTCCCACAAGCTTCTCACCTTTTTATCTCTCTAGAAGCTGAGAAGAGACAAAAGAATAAAACATATTGGAGTGTAGTGGAGTATGTAATCAGTAATTGCATGTACTTAGGAGGTGTGGCAGGAAGGTCACAAGTTTGAAACCAGCCTGGGCAACTTTGGAAGACCTTGACTTAAAATTAATGAAAAAAAGAGGAGAGCTGTGAAGGTAGCTAAGTGGTTACCATGTGCAAGACCCTGGGTCCAATCCCCAGTACTCTGCAGGGAAAGGGAGGAGGGATAAAGTATAGAATGTACCCAAAGGTGAGGGAAGGCCCAGGCACCGAGGTCCCCAGTCCCAACTCACCGGGATACACCAGGAAGTCGCCCCCGAACTTGCCGGCTGCGCTGAGGAAAAAGCCGCGCTCCCACAGGTCTCGGTAGATGCTATAGCGCAGCTCGTGGGCGGGCCGGCCAGCATGGGGCCAATCTTGGGACTTCACGCGCCAGTCCAGTGGCCTGGCCTTAACTGGCCAAGGCCTGGCGGTGGCCAGTTGGACAAGGAGGGCAGACCTGGGCAATGGCGCTGCCCCGTCCGAAGCTGCTGGAGGAGAGGGCGCTGGAGAAGCGGAGAGAGGAATGCGATGAGCAGGGACGACCAGGTCCCCAGGTGAGGGGAGACCCAGTCCCAAGTCCCCTCCCGCACCCCACCCACCTGCCTCCTCCTGCTCCCCGGAGGCCTGGTCACCACCCGACTCGGCCCGCGGCTTGGTCTCGTTCCCTTCACTCCCTTCGTCAGCTCGGCCCCCGCTGGCCCCGGAATCCTGCTCCAGCTTCTGCTTCTTGGCAGCCTGGCCTTCTGCAATCTTCCCCAGGAGCTCCTGACGCCGGTTTTCACGGGCCTCGGCCGCCAACGCGCTCTGCTCCTGGAAGCTCTGCTCTTGCTGGCGTCGGAACGATGCCAGAGCCTGAGAAGCGAAGGCTAGAACTGGAACCCAGGCCCGGTTTACAGGTCGAGCCACTCCACAACCGGGCTTCCAGGACTCCCCATGAGCGCCCGGGGTTCTCACCTGGCCGTGCTGGCTGGGATCCGGGCGAGGGGCGCTGACCAGGGTCACGGCGCCGATCTCAGCCAAGAGCCGCGCCTCTTCGGGCAAAAGCAGCAGCGGGAGCCCCAGGCGCGAGTTCTGGCGGGGCCCTCGGGGCAGAGCGCCCACCGCGCGACCCCCCACGCCCAGGCGCTCCCGCAGCGCCTGCACCGCCTCGGCGCCCCACACCAGCGAGCGGCCGTTCGCCACCTCCACCACCAGCATCCTCCTAAGGAGCGGGGACGCGGCGATCACCCCAACACCGCCATGACGCCTCGGGGGCACCCACAGCGCGGGCTCTCGAAGCCACCAGCAACCGAGGCCAGGCCGCCCCCGTGAGGCCCGCCCCCGCAGGCCGGACCCAGAGCCTCCCCCGGACACTCGGACGGACGTTAGCGGCTCCTGTCACTGAACCTTCCAATCCGCGGCCAGGCCGCGCTCTAAATTACACTTCCCCAGCGCGAAACCCCGCCCCTTCCCGAATTTGCGCGACTCGGCTCTCCCAGGTTCCCCGCCCGGCCGAAGCCGCAGCCCCGCCCCCTTCCGAACGTCACAACTCCGCCTTCCGGAACTCTCGGTTTCCGTCCGTCCCACGGCCTCTAGCCCCGCCCCACGGCAGACGTCACCGTCCAGACCCCGCCCCGGGCCCTTGACGCTCCGGGAGCTGCCTCACCCCACTAGCGAGCGCTGGCTCCTCTCAGGCCCGGCCACTGCCGTCGGACAGAGCCAGCCTGCATCTCTACCACTAACTCGCACTGCAGGCGGAGGTCCGCCCTGCACCATGCGAGCCCCTGCGTCTCGCTCCTCCGCCGACGGACACGAGCGAGAAACGTGCCGCCGCCCCAGCCGCGAGCCTCCCGCTGCAAGCTGGGCACTTGAGGGAGGCTCAGCACCCGGCCGCCCCTGTGCCCCGAGTCCTCCCAGGGCCCGCCCCTCCTGGCGGCCCCGCCTTCCTCCTGAAGTCTAGCGCAGTTGGCTCTGCCTATCCTTATACCTAGGTCACTTACACCCAGTTCTTTTCGAAGCAAACCGAAGCTCCGCCATGCCCACAACCTTGAGTCCTGGACTATGCCGAAGGCAGCCGGGCTTGCGGCCCCGCCCACACCCCGTGGGCTCGGGCTCCCGACTGCGCCCGAAGGTATCCGAAACAGGGACAGGTCCGACCGACCGAGCCTCCAGGCCGGAAGCGCCGGCCCCGCCTCTCCAGCCCGAAGCCCCGCCTCTCCCCTTTGCACGGCTCTGCGCCGGCGCTGGGCAGACAGAGCTACTGGGTTCGAGCGCAGGCGGAGCTCACGCTACTTCCCTGTGTGTTGCAGTCCGGCCGATCCCCGACGGCGGCGGTGCCCCCGGGCCCGGACTGCGCGGCCCTGCTGGCCCCGGCGGGAGCTGCGGAGCGGAGGAGGCGTGGCGCGAGCCGCGGCGGGCACTCA